TATAGTTTAATAGTTGATATAGTATATGTAGAAGTTGTTGGTGTAGTAGTGTAATAGTTGATGTAGTACATTAGTTGGTGGTGTATTAGTGTAATAGTTGATGTATTACATGTAGTAGTTGTGGGTGTAGTAGTGTAATAGTTGATGCAGTACATGTAGTAGTTGTTGGTGTAGTAGTGTAATAGTTGATGTAGTACATGTAGTAGTTGTGGGTGTAGTAGTGTAATAGATGTAGTACATGTAGTAGTTGTGGGTGTAGTAGTGTAATAGTTGATGCAGTACATGTAGTAGTTGTTGGTCCAGTAGTGTAATAGTTGATGTAGTACATGTAGTAGTTGTGGGTGTAGTAGTGTAATAGATGTAGTACATGTAGTAGTTGTGGGTGTAGTAGTGTAATAGTNCTGCTCATGTAGTATTGTACTAGTAAATGTAGTACATGTAGTAGTTGGTAATCATTCATCAAGGCCATATTAAACTTGATACGTCAAGTTATCATTGTGGCTAACTGATGGATTGTGTTTTGTTATTGTTATGATAGTGTCATTAACTCAACTGACATGTAGTGCCTGGGAGCTTATGGTATGGTGCAGAATCTGTTGTCTGTCAACAACATTATTTATCAAAGAACTTCTTCTTGAGAAATGAAAGGTTCAGGGTTCTGATGTTGGGCAAGTAGATGCCTAGCATAGAGATGAAGATATTTTATCCTTATTTAGTCTGGAGGATCTTGGGCTAAAGGGACTCAATTTTGTATAAACAATGAATGTGGCCCCCCTGGGGGCAGAAGGGCGGAGACCAATAGGGGAAACGTAGCAAATTCTTCAAATACCTTCTTCTGACAGGATTTTGTCCAAATATGGTATGAAGTATTCTTCGGTAAAGGGGAACCAATTTTGTATAAACAGTGTGTCTAACCTCCCTGGAGGCAGGGAAGCAGGGCCCAATATGGGAAATAGTGGTAAAACCTTTAAAATCCTTCTTCTACCATAGGGATTAAGGGATTTTATCCTAATTTAGTCTGGAGCATCCTTGGGCCAAAGGGACTCAATTTTGTATAAGCAGTGGGTGTGGTCTCCCAGGGGACAGAAGGGCGGGGCCCAATAGGAGAAATATACAGGTAAAACCTTTAAAATCCTTCTTCGACCATCAGGATTAAGGAATTTAATCCTTATTTAGTCTGGAGCATCCTTTTGCCAAGGGGACTCAATTTTGTATAAACGGTGAGTATGACCCCCCTAGGAGCATAGGGGTGGGGCTCTGTTTGAAGTTTGTTCTCGCTATATCTCAAGTACTGTATGGATCTTTCTGAAATTCCATATGTACTTACATATCTACCATGGAGTGCTATATCTTTACTTCATACCAATTATTTTAAACATATTCAGGTGAGCGATACATATACGTTTTAAATATTTTTCAGCAAACACAAAGTATTTTCAGAAAATTTCTTCAATTTTCTGTTAGGAGAAGGAACCTATTGATTTATTGAGCATATGCCAATACCGTGGCGTCCGTCGTCCGTACGTCAACAATTTCTTCAAACGACTTCTTCTTCTTCTTAACCACTGATTGGAATTTGACTAAATTTGACTGGAAGCATCCCTAGGTGGTGAGGATTCAAAATTGTACAAATGGTTTGGCCGACCCCCCAGGGCGCTGAGGGGCGGGGCGAAATGGGGCAATTTTGCTTTATTGCTTTAAGGGACTTCCTCTCTGGAACAAAGAGATGGATATCAGCCATATTTGACTGGGAGCATCCCTAGGTAGTGGAGATTCAAAATTGTACAAATGGTGGGGCTGACCCCCCAGGGTGCTGAGGGGCAGGGCCAAAAGTGGGCAAATTTGCTATATTGCTACAAACGACTTCTTCTGTAGAACTATGCACTGGATATCAATCATATTTAATGAAAAGCATTCATGGGAGACAGGGATATATATACAATTGCTGAGTATAAAGAGAAGAATGCACATTTGCTTCCAGTATGGCTCTTGGGTCTGCCCCACCCTTGGAGACATAGTCCCTGGGTCATAACTTTGAAACAGTAGTTGAGGTCCCCACCCTAGAACTACATATACAAATGCTGGGCATAAAGAGACGAATGCAATCATGATATTAGAATAGACCCTCGGACCTGACTGAACCCGTAGGGACCTAGTTTATTCTTCACAGCTTGGAAGCAGTTGAGATCCCCACCCTATAACCATATATACAATTGCTGAGTAAAGAGATGAATGCACATATGCTTCCAGGATGGCATTGGGGTCTGCCCCACCCTTGGAGACTAAACCCATTGGTCATAACTTCGAAATGGTTAAAATCCCCACCCAAAAACTATATATACAATTGTTGGGCATACAGAGACAAATGCAGTCATGATATTAGAATTGACCCCAGGGTCTGCCCCACCCTTGCAGACTTTACCCCTGGGTCATAACTTTGAAACGGTTGAGATCCCCACCCTAAAACTATAATTACAAATACTTGGCAAAAAGAGACGAATGCATTCATGATATTAGATTTGATCCTCGGGTCTGGCCACAACCCTAGAGACCTAGTTTCTGAATCACAGCTTGGAAACTGTTAAGATCCCCACTCCATAACCATACATAAAATTGCAGATATGCTACAAGGATTGGCCTTGGGGTCTGGCATATTCCCTTGGATCTCATTTGGAGGATAATGTGCCATGATTGCTTAGATATCCAGGTGAACAATAGAAGCCCAGAGGGCCTCTTGTTTTATGTAGAAATTTTGTTTTAATGTAGATTGTCACATAACAGTCCTCCCAAGATTTCATATAGAAATCTGTACTGTTTGATTTCAAACCCTTTAATACTCAAAAATGTTGCTCTTTTATACTGATATGTGCCCTCAATACCACATATTAATTATGTTTAGAAACAACCACTGCCAGGATAATGAAAGAAAAAGAATACAAGTACACTCCTACCAAAAGTTTCTCCGATGCTTGCAAGAGGTTGATGAAGAACAGCGTTGTCGTAATTAAAGGGAACAGTGGAGACGGGAAGACATCCATTGCCCTTGAACTTCTCCGTTGGCTGTGCCATGATGTGGAGGGACAACAACGTCGACAGCCACTAGAACTGCATGATATCAAAGACTTGGATTTGGTGGCCCCAAAGTCAGAATTAGTTATTTATTTAGATGATATCTTTGGAAAGAATGTTTTGTGTAAACAAGATGTGGAAGAATGGGAGAAAAGAGTAGAATCTGTCATAGAATCAAAACTTTGTGGAAATGAGCACACAGAGGGCAATTTTCTGATCATTACAATTCGCAGAGGAATTTTTAATTCTTTAACTAGTTCTTGCTTGGAAAAAGTTTTTACTGAACAAAACATTGTTGACCTTAACATAGATGCAGAAGAAAAACTGGAATTGTTAAGGTTGTACAAACCAAAAGATAAATTTGACTCGTGGAAAGATAATGAAGAGAAGGAAATTGTCAAGTGTGCTCCCGACATTGGGTTTCCCCAATGCTGTAGGTTGTTCAGAGATTCACCTGCTTTGCAGACGGAGAGGGTCAAATTTTTTAAAAGACCATTTCATTTTCTGAAATCTTCATTATCTAAATTGGAAGACGGAAAATGTTATGGTCTGATGTATCTGTTCCTTAACGGAGGCAAAGTCATGAAAGATGATTTAGACTCTAACAATGAAAATATTGATGAACATTTATTAGAAGCAGCATTTGCTAATGATGTAGTAAAAGTAACCTCAACAGCTGAGCTTGTTGTTCACAGTAAGTCTAAGGGGAGGAAAATAGAATTTGTTAAGGATTCGTTAGATAGTCTGTTGGGTTTGCTGGTGAAAAAAGAGCCTAACGACAAACAAAGAGTTTGTTACCAATTCAACCATGACTCCATTGAGGAAACTCTGGCCCTTTTGTATGGAGAAAAAACTCCCATTGGCTACATACAGAATTGCCCCAGCAAGTTTCTCAGTTATGTAACTACCTCAAAAACCACTCCAAACAAAGTAGTTATATCATCTGATAATCAGTACAATGTTTTGTATGAACGTTTACTCAGAGAGTTTGAATCAGTCTATTCTAGTAAACGCAAAATTGCCGGGTTTTATAGTAAATATCATTCTATAACTTCATTAGATGTTTGGACAGATTTTCAGTTTCTGCAAGGATTTATTAGATGGCGAAGTCGTCAAAATGTTGACAAAAATTTGTGCGATGAGATAAAGCTTGCCTTGTTGAATGGAGCATGTTTTTCTGGTTCAGAAGAATGTGCTTTATCCCTCCTGTCGGAGGGTGTGACACCTGACAAGGTCACATTGCTTTGTGTGGTAGAGGGAGGGAGCGTGAATATATTATACAAAGTGGAGAGAGTTATACTTAAGTCCTTGTATAGAGTTGAGGATGAACAACATAAGTGTGAGAGAGTAGAAGGTCGTGTGGTGCACAGGAATTGTGTGTGTGCTCAGTACATGTGTCAGTTAGTGACTAAGTACGAAAGAACAGTGTTACATGTGAGTTGTAACCAGGGACACATGGACATTTGTAAATATCTGTGTGAGTCGTACCCAGCACTAACTACAGCTGTAGATAATAACGGGGACACAGTGTTACATTATTATAGTTGTAGGGAGGGACACATGGAGGTTTGTAAATATCTGTGTGAGTCGTACCCAGCACTATCTAGAGCTGTAAATAATGACGGGTTAACAGTGTTACATGCTAGTTGTAGGTGGGGACACATGGAGGTTAGTAAATATCTGTGTGAGTCGTACCCAGCACTAACTACAGCTGTAGGTAATAACGGGTTAACAGTGTTACATTATATTTGTTACGGGGGACATATGGAGGTTTGTAAAGATCTGTGTGAGTCATACACAGCACTAACTACAGCTGTAGATAATAACGGGGACACAGTGTTACATTATTATAGTTGTAGGGAGGGACACATGGAGGTTTGTAAATATCTGTGTGAGTCGTACCCAGCACTATCTAGAGCTGTAGATAATAACGGGTTAACAGTGTTACATGCTAGTTGTAGGTTGGGACACATGGAGGTTAGTAAATATCTGTGTGAGTCGTACCCAGCACTAACTACAGCTGTAGATAATAACGGGTTAACAGTGTTACATTATAGTTGTTACGGGGGACATATGGAGGTTTGTAAATATCTGTGTGAGTCATACACAGCACTAACTACAGCTGTAGATAATGACGGTAAAACAGTGTTACATTATAGTTGTGACCAGGGACACATGGATGTTTGTAAATATCTGTGTGAGTCGTACCCACCACTAACTACAGCTGTAGATAATAACGGGTTAACAGTGTTACATTATAGTTGTATGGAGGGACACATGCAGGTTTGTAACTATCTGTGTGAGTCGTACCCAGCACTATCTAGAGCTGTAAATAATGACGGGTTATCAGTGTTACATGCTAGTTGTTTCGGGGGACATATGGAGGTTTGTAAATATCTGTGTGAGTCGTACCCACCACTAACTACAGCTGTAGATAATGACGGGTTAACAGTGTTACATTATAGTTGTAGGTGGAGACACATGGAGGTTTGTAAATATCTGTGTGAGTCGTACCCACCACTAACTACAGCTGTAGATAATAACGGGTTAACAGTGTTACATTATAGTTGTTACCAGGGACACATGGAGGTTTGTAAATATCTGTGTGAGTCGTACCCAGCACTAACTACAGCTGTAGATAATGACGGACAAACAGTGTTACATTATAGTTGTAGGGAGGGACACATGGGGGTTTGTAAATATCTGTGTGAGTCGTACCCAGCACTAACTACAGCTGTAAATAATAACGGGCATCATTGTCTACATTATATAGCTAGGTGTACATCAGATGTAGAGCTGTTCACTGAGTGTGAAACTCATGTAAAACAGTACCTAGAATCAACAGGAGGTAAGTATGACATCACAACCATACTAACCAATCAGGGAAGGTCTGTTTTAAACATCGCAAAGAGACGGGGGACAGAAAACAACCCTTTGTATACTCATCTTGGCCGATTGTTCATTCACATGTGTATAATGACACAAAACAAAGTTAAATTTCATGAAATAATTTAATCGCATTTCAATGTTTGTAATTTTTGTCAAAATTCATTCTTGAGTCCTGTTTTTTTCGCCAATATCAGGGGGTTTCCTGTCGAGTGCTAAAAAAATAGACTGGTAGTGCTAGCAATAAACTGTTATACAAGAAATTCTGTATCTTTTGGCATTAAACAGTGATGCATTTGTACAGAAGTTGACATATCAGTAACTAAATTATAATTAAAAAATGGTTTTAAGTTAGTTGTTAATCAAATCCTTGTCTATGAAGACCACATTTAAAATACAGTGCTACAGTGTATTATGCTAGTTACACTAAAGACATAAAACAAAAAATCATCAGGTTGGTATAAGTTTTTCATAGATTTGTTAAGCAAACGTCTTTTTAAAAATAAAAAACAATCTAAAATTTACAACTGAAAAGTCTGCCTTCAGACATATTTTGGGTTTTAAGAAAACTATTCTAAAATGGTTTTATATAATAATGAGAATTGTTTGGTTTTCATAAAGAAAATCTTAAAGCTTTCTTTATTCCAATATTCAAGGTCACAGGTTCATATATGTTGAATCTTTCATTAACTTCTATTGAATAACTAAAAAGTATAATGTGTAGTTATATTCACATTACCTGTGTGATAACTATTTTGATTGTTTGTACACGCGAACAATTCATGCTATACAGTAAATATATATAAAATGAGTGTCACAGTATATATGCATAAATTATCAAAATTGTTTGTTTATTACCACCTGGACGTACATTCTCCCTTGGAGAGGAGTAAAATTACCTAAGTTTGTATAGAGAAATAACACTTTTGGTAATATGTTGCTTTGTTTCATGGGGTGACATTTTTATGGTATGTAAATTTAGACTAGTGCTCGCGTCTTAATTAGTAAATTAAGATTACTGGCTATTTTTTTAAATGTCTTATTCAGACCCAGATAGTCTCTGCTACAGCTAAGGTGAAGGCCCATGGGTCTCTAGTTTGTGTGTGTTATAGCCTGTATATCTGTTTTGTTATCTGACTTTTTTATTATATGTCGGAAGATACTGATATGATCACTGTTTAATAACATTATATATTGCCATTTGTTAACTTTTATGCCAGAAAATGAATAAAATATTAAAACTGAAGTACTGTATTGATTTTTAACTCGCATGACCTTTGGATTGCCTTTCGTCGTCTGTAAAAGTACAGTTTTTGCAGTAGTCTTAATTTAGCACCTTTTGCGCCTTGTATATTGCGATAAATTATGTTTGCACCAATTCAAGTTCCTGTAAATTATTTTTCTTTTGCATTTTATGAGGGTGGTTCTATTCATCAATGTGTTAATCTTTGACAATTTGACAATGCACCTTAAACATAAAGGTTCGATTCTGCAGAAGCAGTCGTTTAATATTTTGGCCAGTTTGACCCCAATGACCTTGCAAAAGGTCAGTATTATTTTCATTTGCAAATTCTGTTGAGCTCAATTCCAGGAAGATACCAGCAAAATATTACGATTCTATACGTGTTAAAAATGTTTGATATATAAAACCCCCGTGACCTTGAATGTAGATTGTGGTCATTTTCACCGAGCTTCATCCCATGATTCTACCAGCTAAATAATAAGATGCTATGTCTTTCGTTTCTTCTTCAGTTTAGGTTAATGACATATTTTGTCGGGCTCTTTAACCAAGAAAGCTACAAGCCAAATATCATGACTCTATACCTTTCCATTCTTCAGAGGAAGTCGTTTAAAGGAAAAGTTGACAGACATGTAACCTAATAGTATGCATGAAGCACACACCCTTTAAATAAAATAACTACAGAGGATGTGGTATTTTTCATCAAGACCATTATATTATTAGCCCGATAAGCCTGAAGGGACAAATGAGCTCATACCGTGGCGCGGCGTCTGTCGCCCTTTTGCCTATTGTCCAGCATGCTAGGATGAAAGGCTATCAAGTTTGTTAAAATGAATGATCTTGACCTATATTCAGGGACACAGGGGTCAAATATGTTCAAAATATTTAAACCACTTCTTCTGAATAACCAGATAGCACTGGAAGATGATATTTAGCCCGTTACATGCTGGAATTAATTTCTAACAAGTTTGTTCAAATTAATGACCTTGACCTATATTCAAGGTCTTCAAGGTCACAGGGATCAAATGCGTTCAAAATATTCAAACGACTTTTCCTGCAAAATCATAAGGCCAAACGATACTGTAGTGTACTCGGGCAAAGATGTCCCTTTTCGCCACATTCCTCCCCGTTTTATTCCAAAAGGGGAATGTCAACTACTAAATTACTCTGCTTTCGACTTCCTAACTCATCAACCAGTATCTAGCTGATAATCGGCCAGTTATTTCTGCTCCTGGATCTGACATTGGTTTGATTTCCAGCTTCCTTATCCTAATAACTTTGAGGCAGCTCCCCCATCCGCAACAGATTCCATTACGAGCTTCTGTTCCGGCTGAGAAGTGCAGGATTCTGACGTTTGTCAACGGTCAATTCCGAACAGCTGGGTGATCTGCATATCCTCGCTGTCCAAAGAGTCTACCGACTCAACCTCACCAACTTGCTCAAGTATTTGGTTTCTTCGTCTCTTTAGCCATAGAGGGAACTCACGACCCCCGCACAGTTTTAGGCGGTCACGATGGACTACGACCTCTCTTTTCTTGTCCGCGATCCGATATGAAACTGGTGACTTCACGGCGGTGACTATGTATGGGCCCCTCCAGGGGGGTTTGAGTTTTGCGCTCTGCCCCACCTTGGTCGCCGAGTCGACTTTAAGCACAACGACCCCAACTTCATAAAGCTCCTAGTTTAGGTGCTCATCATAGGGGCGTTTCTGTCGGCCCTGGGCCGAAGATAGGTTCTGGCGAGCTATTTGGTGAACATCTGGTAAATTGTCCCTAAAGTACATATGCGGCCGGCTCCTTGCGTTCTTGGTTCAGCGACACAGCACCAAGGAAAATATCCAGTGGCTGACACACCTCTCACCCTAACATCATGCGGTTTGGGACAAACCCAGTCTGTCGGTGTTGTCGAATAGCTCCCGCCAGTTACTGTAAATGAACCACAGTCCCACGTTCCTTGTCTGTCCTTAAGGAAACGGCGTATCTATGGTTTGCAAATGGTTTGCAAATGGCTCCACTTGTCCATTGGAAGCCGGATGGTATGGCGAAGTACGTGTTTTCGCAGATTCCAGGCACCACAGTTCCGTCCATATTTTTACCCTGGTCAGTATAGAGTTCAGTTGGACATCCAAACCTCATAAAACCTATCAACAGCCATTTTTAGCTAAGGCGTTAGCCGCCAGCTATTGGTATTACTTTCGTTAATGAGCTCAAGATATTCATAAATGTCGTTTTCACACAGACTAGTACCACTGGTACTAAATTGAATCATATACCGGACCTACTGTCTTTATTATGCGTAACTTTGGACTCAAATGCCCTTGAATGGCTTGTAAATATCATTCCTTTCCTTTGTAGAACATATGATCTTATCACAACGTCGTATTCTTATTGAAAATGCACCCTGTTTATCTCAATCGGGAACTGCTACTTGACTGTAGGTCATACATGCTACACGCAACTTCCGGTAAAAATACTTCGGTTAATGAGCTCAGATATTCATAAACGAGACATAACGTCACCTACCAGTAATACTAACAAACTGCAAATAAAATCCATTACCACGGACTCAGGTTCACTCACACGTCATCGGATATAATCTTATTCTTAGTAAGAACTAAGTATCCTTCTAAAACTTCGTATTTATTCTTGGAACTGTCGCTGGATTAACCCTTTACACGGAAATATTGTCCTGTGATTGGCTAAAATTGGTGACATTTACGTCCCTGTTTACATTTATATATTGCGTGATCAGAGCTATGAAGCAGTCCTGTTTCAGCTAACTGAGGAAAATCAAAAGTGCTAATCAGTAATAATATATATGATTCACGCTTCATATGATTATAAAGTTATCAAAATATTGCATATTCGTTCATCGTTGAAATAACAAATCCTTACTAAAACCTCTAAAAACAGAAACGACGGCCATGTTAGATCACGCGTGATGTTATCCGTTTCCTTATATGGCCTTCACGGCCAAATATAGTATTACTACTGATGCGGTCATGTTTACTACAATTTCCATATTTGGTCATGACACCCATATTTAGACGTCTGGCCTAGGCCTATATCGGAAAGATAGACGAAGTTTCCAACATGGCAGTCAATTATTGAATTAAGATTTCGCTTGCACTTGTTACGTAAACTTGATAATTTAACGACATATAAGGCAGAGTATAACTTACAATTATGTAGGAGATCAACATAAAAAGTTCATATTACAAACCTATTAATGGATACGGATCCTGTCAATTAATTCTAAAATCGCCTCCGTGTGATTCACACCAGGCTTGCT